CAGAAAATTTTTGGACAAAGATCTTAAAAGATCTTTGGGCATAGATCTCTGGAGGATCTCTGTTATTGTTAAAAAACTCCAAAGTGAAAATTAATATATTAAACTTTGAAGATCTTCAATTTAATTTAATAATAATAAACTATATTTATATTTATATATTAAAATTTATTCAATTTTAAATTTATTGACTTACAAATTATTTTTATTATTATTTATTCTTATTTATATTTATTTATTTGGTTAAATCTTCGCCAGAGCATTTGTTTCTATACTAACACATACAAATAACTGTTTTGACGAATATAACACTTCTTTTATATTTCTATTATTTCTTATAACTCATAATTATCATGTACGAAAATGATATAACTCAAATATGTATATAAAGGCTTCAATTTCGCCTAGGAATTGACAGGCTTGAACATATATTTTATTAAATAAATAACTTGATCTTTACAAAACAAATCACTATTGCCTCTTTTGCTTGACTTCATACACCTCAGAACTGTACTAATTTGTATGCCTCTAGGAACTTTAGCATATCACATTGGCCCTGTTCATCTAAAGTACCTTCCTGCTACTAGTTCTCCATCTTTATCTTTCTTCTGAGGTAGAAACGATATATGACAATATTAATAAAAATTGAAGCTTTATTAAGGTTAAAGTATATATATATATTTTTAAAGTGAAATGTGTATGAGGCATGTGATCTTTATTGATACATTTATATATCCAGACAGATATCAAGTGTTTTTACAAATTAACTGGAAATCAGTTAATACATAAATACCTATTATGTCTTTATAGCTAATCTGCAGATTAATACTGTTTAGTATATATATTACTATAAGACTAGCTACATCAACTACTTATAATCCTATTATGTATTTATTTAAACATCCAAAAATGTACCTACACATCAGGTAGGACTTTTTGTAGAAGAAGAAATCCTATCACTAGTTTAAAATTCACTTAACTTACTAAGTCCATATCGCAAAGAGCAGTATAATATATGATGTTATTATAGAAATTAACCTTAGTTATTCCAATCACTTGTTATCACTAATCCTCATAATATGCCACTAATATAGTATAGCTCTGCCATTTTTATTACCTGTAGAACTGGTGTTCTTGCTTGGATTCCAATTTAATCTTGACAATTCTTACTAGACTCACTTGATCTTAATAATTTTTGCTTAAATTGTCACCTTCTGTGACTGATAACTTTTTGCCCTTTTGGTTCATTTAAGTTTATATGAATACTACTTATGAGATAGATTTTCAAGCTTCAAATTGAAATAAATCAGTTTAGAATTAATCTTATTGGGTTGTGTAACAGAGTTGGCTGTCACCAGTTTAATTTAAGATTTTGTAAACTTTTTACCAAAGTTAAATCAAAAGTCTTTTCTTGTACAATCTTTCATGCTTTAATCTATTTTCAATCCACAATCATTGGGAAAACCAAAGGTCCTATCTTTATATAACCTAATTAAATTAAAATGTGATTAAGGATTATTGGATATGACTTATGTAGAATATCTAGTAAACCTACATATAAAAGTAAATATGCTTTTTGCCTCTTATGAATATTGAACTAGGGACATGCGTTTGGTGATCTGGGAGCACTACCTACTATGCTATTGACTTACAGGTTAACTTTATATAATATTATTAATTTAAAGCATCAATAATATATATAATATCTATTTTTTAATACTATTTAATATACTTTGCTATATTATAAAAAATCAACAATTTTTATAAAAAATTTCTTATTAAAAAATTATAATTAGTTTACTTTTGTTAATTAAATATTATTTCAAACTTAATTAAATATTATTTAATATCAAAACAATGTTATATAATTAATATATTATATAATATTTTTTTTTTTTTTACAAATAGACATTAAATGTATGATTTTTTTTTTCTAATGCTGATAAGACCTTGCTATTTAGTTTATTATACTTTTCAGATTAATATATTATTTGTTTTACAAATTTAATTGTGACTTGTGTACATATTTAGAAAGTGAAAGCTAAATGGTTCAGTATTACTATTGTAAATTCTGTGACCTTCTGTAGTTCTAAAGAGGATACTAGTGTGTCAAGACTCCACCAGCACTTAGAAGTTAGTCAAAATTGTTTGATTGCTTTATTTGGGTTGGTAGGAATTTTTAAGGAGGAATGAAGGGGCACACTGGGGATAATATCTTTTTTATGATGAATAAAGCTACAGATATCTGCTTTTCTATCAGGAATTACATTCTTTTATCACTACTTGCAGCTGGGCTAACTATTTAATTTCTTATCAGCCTAAATGTTACTCAAGAATGTTCAAGGAAATATTTATAACTGAATCTTATTAGCCTGGACAGTCTTATTGTTATATGCTGAATGGGACTTACTGCCAGATGCCTTTTCAGAATAAGTACTACCAAACTGATTTATTATTGGATTGGGATAAGAAACTTTGTGCAGGGATTTGCAGAAAAGACACCAGATATTAAAGAAGCGATTACCAAACCTACTTATTGAAAATAGATACTATATATATTTTACAACTTCTAGTGATCATTATAACACCAACCGGACAATCATCACGTCATGACATCTTTTTTGGAAATTACAATCTCAACACCCACTGGATTAGCATATGAAATGACTTTTCATGAAAAACAATGCTTTTTATAGGTTATGATATCAGATATCATATTAATTCTATTCAACCATCCTCACATAGGGTTGAACTGGTATCTTGTGATTTGACCTGTGGAGTATTAACCACTACACTATGAATCTACAGGTCTGGGCATTAAATGTAAGATATTTATTAAACTTTCATTTTTTTGTTATTATATTAATGATCTTTAATATACAAAGTAAGTAGATTAATTCTAGCTTATTATAAATAAAGTTGACATATGCAAACCTTTAAGAATCCAAATAAGGTAAAAGAAAAAAAGAATAAAAAATAGCTAGCTACTAGTTGTATTATAAACCTTGTATATGTGTTCTATAAGTGGTGTAGTGCTTGGGTTTTGGATTGTGGCCTGGACCTGTGTAACTATGTGATCAATGAGAATATGATTAAGGGTTATTGATCCTATCCATATTGCTGATCCAGATACCAATATGACATAATTGACCTATATCGATCTTTTGATAAAAGTAAGCTACTTATAGTTTTTGTTATGAAAAATTTGAAAACTAGATAAGACAAGAAGACAGTCTTGTAGTCATTTTTCTTAAATAGTATATGAAATAGTAGTATTGTCAAGTATTCAAGATAGAGTTGCTTATAATTGCATACTTCTGATATACTGGTTAGTAGTCTAAATTTTTAGCAAAACAAATCCTTATGTAATTGATACTGTTAGTCAAATTTTCTTTTTTTATAATCACTTCTTACATTTGACTAACTTGATATACAATATGGATATTGATTGTGAAAGATATACCTAGAACTTTTAGGATAATGAGACTAACAACATTATCATAATTTCAATCTTTTAATTGAAGTAAAACTAAGTTAACCTTTTCTGTGTTAAGCTCTTTAGAACAAAAGAAAAAATCTTGAAAAGAAACTTACACTTCTCAAGCAAGTAAGATATTGACTTGAATAAAGTTGATAGCTTGATTGAGATAGTGAAATAACAAACCAAAGAATTGATGAAATAAAGTAGTAAAAAAAAGAAAGATTTAAAAAGAAAACCTTTAAAAGGAAGGGAAAACTGTTCATCAGTAGGAAAGGAAATTTTGGAAAGAGAAGAAGAAAAAGAAAAAAAAAAGAATAAATTGCTCTCATGTATACAAAGTCTTACAAAGAAAATTTTAGTCACCTCAAAATCTTTTTAATTTTTGTCTCAGGCTGTTGTTATATGCAAGAGTTGATCTGCTTACACTTTTCTAAATATAAGTACTTTTTTTAGGTATACTATCAGACAATTAACCGAGTCTTGTGTAGTATTAGCATATTTCAGATTCAATTTGCTACAAGCTTTCATCTTTAGCAAAAAAAGAGAAGCAAAAGAAAAGGGAAGAAAATTTCTTAAAAAAAAAGTTTTTTGTTGAAGTAGAGATAAGTAAAAAAGAGTTTTTTTTTGTTACTTATATTATATAATAATTAATATAAACAAAATCTATTTTAATAATAACAATTAAAACAAAATTATATTATTAACAAATAAACCAACTATTATATTAATTATTAATTATATTAATTTAATAATAATAATAATTACAATAACAAATAAAATGATTATTTATATTAACAAAAATTATATTAAAGTTATAAAAAATTGAAAAAAACAAAATAATAAGTTTAACCAGAAGTTTTTTTGAAAAAATAACTTTTTTTCTTATAACTTTCATGGTTTATTTGATTTTGTTTTGATTTTAATTATCTTTATTTTTTATTTTTCTTTTTTTTTTAAATAGATAGGCATAACCACTACTTGATCTATATTTAGCATATGAATATTATTTAAAATTTCTTTTTAATATAAGCTATTTATAGTATTAATAGACAAACTAGTATTAAACTCACTGCATTAGGCATGTGGAAGAAATGGTGTTTACCCTATTTAAAAAATAATAAGATAAGCAATTTTCCAATAAATTTATTTATAAATAGAAGCTGTTTCAATTGTGGGTTAACTAAGGTGGTCAGAAACAGAACACTTAATTCGTATAATGTATTTTATGAGATGTAGTCCAATTCTTGATTTAAAAAAGACGAATGCAACATGATTACAACTGATTTTATTCATTGACTTTGTTGGCGTAAATATCGAAATCGTAGAGTTGTTTGTTATTCGGTATATATATATATTTTCAACCTATTTTTCTTCAATATAAAAATTTCTTTTGAACCAAAACGATTCAAGCGATTATATTGGCAGAAAATAACTAGTGCGGGCCGAATCTAGGATTTACACTCGATCACCTTAGAAATTATTTAAGACGATCTTTATTTCTTTTCTTTGTTGCTATAATATAATGCACGAACAAGAAAGTTTATACGCGCAACACGCTTATGGAAAAATATCCAAAGTTCGTTTTTCTACCTCTCCAGGAACCTTCGGTGACAGGAATACATTATTTGCTACAGGAACCTGGGATGAACAAAATGTAATTTTAAAAATCCTATCGACATTATATAAACTATCCATCTAAAGAGTTCTTTATTTAGAATAATACGTTAAAGATATGGAGTTTAGAAGAAGCATCGATTAGTTTAGAAAATTCCGCTCCTTTCAATAATAAAATTGTTGCAAAAACTAATCATAAAGGAGACGTGACTGCTATGCAATTTATTGGTGACATTTTGTTCACGTCTTCTTCAGGAGGCGATTTCAACGCGTTTAAATGCATACAAGTAAGTATTTTTCTGTTTTCAAGCTTTAGTCGATAATTACTTATTATCGTATAAATAAATTCTTTTTTAGTCTGAACGCGAAGTAGAAACAGATTTGGATTTTGCTATAGAACCTCAAATACGCTATAACTACACGTTGGAGACAATCATGACTCATCAATTGCATAGTTTTTCGGAAGGCAGAAGTGCATCTGCTACTGGTATTGCAATTAGACCCAACAGTGAAAACGATCCTGAAATTGTTAGTGTTGGGGAAGATGGTCGTCTTATACTTTTTAAGCTTGACGAGCACAACCAGTTCCAAATCGTAGGTAAATAATTTACAGCTTCAACTCTTAAACCGTGAGGATTTACTAAATCGAATAATGACATTTAGATGCAGCTGATACCTCTGGTTTCAAGGCTGTCGCATGGCCATCATCAGATCAAATAGTAAAATTTTCAAGTCCTCGCCATTACTCGACAAAATTGTAATTTTACTAGAATCTTGTATTTTCATAGATTACAATTGGTATATCTGGACAGTTAAGGCTTTTTGATCGACGAGGACCCAGAAAACCTATGGTATTTTATGAGTATGTGCTTTATTGAATCTTATAAAATCAGGTTTTTTTTTTTATATTTGATATGATTCTGGTTGATTAGCCCCGATCGTCCAAGGGATTCCCTAAATTGTTTAGCAGTTAACCCTTCCCAGGTAAATTTTAACACTTACCATTGCATTATTTATTATCAACTTAAAGAAAAACGTTTTTTTAGGTGAGTCAAATTGCCACTGGCAGCTCTGAAGGCCTTGTAACAACTTGGGATATTCGAAATTGCTCTGGGCCTTTAAAACAAGTTCATCCACATGAAACACATGGTACTTATATCATCTATAATATAAAGTATGATTTTTTATTAACATCTAATCTTGTTAATTTTTTATATAGTATATGAGTTAATATTTCATCCGTATCGCCCAGCGTTTCTTTTTAGCTGTTCGGAAGGTAGATTCTCTGTATAAGTAATCTTACGGGTTATATAGTTTAACTTATTATTATTGCATTTTGACTTAGATGGAACAATAGGCGTCATAAATTTGAACGCATCATCTATAGAAGGTTTTAGGGATTACGGAATGGCAAGAGAGAATGTCATGATTCACAAATATAACTATGACTATAACGATCTTGCCATTAACTCTATTGACTATCATCCTCTTTCTAAATTGTTGATTGGTGGGGGAGATGGTCAAAACTTATTTTCTATGAAGTTTGACTAATGTCGTATTTTAAAATTAAAGTTATACGTTTTTCCTTATGAACTTTCTATTCAAACTTCCATCTTAACAGTATTGTTGTCGTGTTCGTTGAAAGTGATATATGGTGTAATTTTTTTTTTGAAACTAAATTATCAATTAATTATAAAACTTTTGAATAATAAATGATATTTAGTGTAATTATTTAAAAAAATCAAACTTTTTTTTTAGTAGGTAAACATTATTTCTTTATTTGATTTGTATATAACAAGTTATGCATCATGAAAGAAACAACATCTCTCATGTGTTGATACAAATGAATTAAATACTAGTTTGCCTACAGTAACCATGTGACTAATATTGAAAAAAAAATTTAAAACAATATATCCTGTCAGATGGCACTGAGTAGTCATGAATACTTATTCAGTATTAAGAGAATTAGAATTAAAGTTGAAAAATGAAAATGTTAGACTATAAATACATTTGGAATAGTTATATTCAGATTGAATAAATGCATAATAATGATAGAAGACAAATCAATAATAATGTCTTCTTGTATGTTAGTGTTGGATATGTCTTTGACTTGTAAGATATTCTTGTTTTTTGGTTTGAAATAATTAAATGAATTAGAGAATTTGGTATAATTCCACTTAATTCTGGTAAAAAGTGAGGTACTAGCTATAAAACAGCATGGTTTTTAGATTAGATTATATAGTTAAATTAAGGATTTTGTTGCTATCTTAATCTAGTTGGCAAAAGTTGAATTAAAAAAGATTTTATCTATTATTTCATATGACAATTCAACTTTTTGTTATATATGTAAGATAGGTTTATAATTGTTATCTGGATGTAGAACTTGATTAACAGTTTTGATAATTTGATTAGTTACTTGTGAGACCTTGATAAATTTGAAGATATGTTAAATGTCTTTAGTATAAAACTTGCATCTCAGACAAAGGATATTTAAATATTAACTGAAATAAGATTAATAAAACATGTAATATTAGTTGAAATTTGATTATTCAGCAGTATGCTACTCGTCAATTATTCAGCATATGATAAATAATTTGTCAAATATTTATCAACAATTTGATAATCATTGTCAAATTATTATTGAATTATTGATGAATGCTTAACGAATTATTTATCATGTGCTGAATAATTGACGAGTAGCATATTGCCAAATAATCAAATTTCAACTAGTGTAATAGATAAAAAGAATTCTTGAGAGCAGTTTAATTCTAAATATATATAAGATGTTATATTTTTTATAAGATTTTTTAATATTTTTGTTGAATTGATTAATGATTTTAAGTCATGTCAGATATATATTTATTTAAAAATTCAGGTAACAAAGAAGCTTTTATAAATTATGTAATTTCTAATAATACTAAAAACTTTCTTGCATTATCTAATGCTACTATCCAAATAAATATTATTAATTAGTAAATTTTTATGAACATATAATAAGAGATTATTTAATTATAAAAAATTATATTGTTATAATAAAATAATATTTCTTATACTTGAAAATTTCTTTTCTTTTTTAAAAAATTTTAAACTATTTATTTTATTTTATTTTATTTTTCTTTATTTATTTTTTTTAATAGTTTTCTTTATATTTTAATTTTTTATAAATATATATTTTTATTTTTTTTTATAATTTAAATTAATAATTTCTTTAATTATTATTATTTTTTTTTTAAGATTATACATTATATATGGTTTTTATTAATTATTGAAGATTCTATATTCCTATACATAAATAGTTTATTAGATATACTAATATTAATAAGTATATTCAATCTTGCATATTTGGATATATTAATTTATATCTCAAAGGTAAATCCATATACCAGTAAGAATTCAAGAATATAAAAATCCTACTGTCAATTTTAAACTATTTAATTTTAATTTTTTAAAAAAAACAGAAGTAGTAACCTACTAGCTAAGTTTTTATCTAAGTTTTTTATTATTTCTCATATTTGACTCATATTACAATAATACTTATAATCTTATTTAATACTTTCTAGTAAATTTTTTAAGAGATTTTTTAATTGATTCAAATTACCAAATCTAGGATTAGATAATTAAGTAAAGCATAACTTTTAAATCTTTCAATAAATCTTTCAAAGATCCTAATTGATATTAACTATCAAATTTAAGAATCCTAACAATTATTTTTGATTTTGTATTCAATTCTCAAGTTTATATTAAATTTAATAGATGGGGTATACCCTACCATTATTTTTAATAGTATTCTGAATTTCATACAATTCTCTGCAATTCTGTTTGATTTCAATTTTCAGAATCATAATTAAATCTAAAGATATAAATATTAAACAAGATACAACTCTTGTTTAGTTACAAACTTTATCTATATATTAATATTTATATTAATAATTATTTTTAAAATTAGTAGTCTTAGTAAACATATTAAATGATAAAAAGAATTTTTTCAATAGGTATATATTTAGTTAAATCAAAAATCTTTTCTCATTAGAATTTCTAATAGTATCATTTTGATATCAAGTTAATACTGGATTTACTATGAGTTTAATATAATGGATTACAATTTATATATTAAGTTAATATCAAGTCAGTATCATTTTGGTACTCATTTTAGAACTCTATTTCTTATGCAGTCTTTTTTTTTTAATCTGTTTTAATTTATAATTATCAGAAAAACCAGAGGTTTCATCTTTATATAATTTAATTGAATAAGAATTAGATTTGAATAATTAAAGACATATATATAGAAAAACCAATAAACTTGTATACAAGTTTTATTAATATATTTTGCTTTTTATAAGTATTAAACTAGGGACATATATTTAAAAATCTGAAAGCACTATCTAATATACTATTGATTTACAGGTTTAATAATTTTTTTAATAATTTTTTTTTTTTATTTTTTTATAGTAAAATGTATATATTATATGTAATTTTTATTAATATAATTATATATCTAGACAAATATCAAGTATTTCTACAAATTAATTGAAATTGGTTATTATAATATATATATATTATGTCTCTATAGCTAATTTATAGATTAATACTGCCTAGTACTTATATTTCTATAAGACTAGCTATACCAATTACTATTTAACTAACTATGTATTTATTTAAATATCTAAAGATATGTTCATATACTAGATAAAACTTTTCACAAGAAAGAAATTCTATTATTAATTTAAATCCATATAACCTACTAAGTTCATTATTGTAGAAAGTAGTATATTTATAAAATATTATTATAAAAACTAATCCCAATATTTCAATTACTATTATTACTTGATCCTTAGGATATATCACTAGTATAATGTTATTTTACTATTTTTACTACTTGTAAAACTGGCATTCTTGCTTGAATTTCAATTTAATCTTAAAAATTTATACTAAATTTATTTGATTTTAATGATTTTTGCCTAAATTGTTACTATTTGTTACAGATAATCTTTATCCTTTTGGTTCATTTAAGTTTAAGAAAACATTACTCTTGAAATAAATCTTTAGACTCCAGATTAGATAGATTAGCTTATCTTTTTTTTTGATATAATATAATTTGCTATTATCAGTTTGGATTAAAGTTTAATATGTTTATTGTTAAAATTAGACTAAAAGTCTTTTCTCATGTAATCTTTTATACTTTGATCTGTTTTTAGCTTGTGATTGTTGGGAAGATTAGAGATTTCATCTTTATATAGCCTAATTAGATTTGAAAGTTGATTTTTAACTAATTGGATATAATATAAATTGGAAGCCTGTCAACTAATTATGAAAGTAATAAATTTTTGTAATTAGATAGGTTTGAACTTTAAACATTTTTTTGATAATCTATAAAGTATTATTATTATCTTATAGATCTATAGTCTATAATTTTTTTAATTATTAATTTTATTTTTTTTGCAAAAGGCATTAAATGCGAGATATTTATTAAACTTTTGTTTTTACGTCATTACATTAAGAATTTCTAATGTACAAAGTAAGTAGATTAATCCTAGCCTAATACAAATAAAGTTGACATATGCGAACCTTTGAGAATCCAAATAGGGGAAAGGAAAAAAAGGTAAAAATAGCTAGCTGCTAGTTGTATCATTAACCCTGCATATGTGCTCCATAGGAGATAATGGTGAAAGATAGTGCAGTACTTGGGTTTTGGATTGTGGCCTGGATCCGTATAACCATGTGGTCAAAGATAGTATGATTAAGGGTCACCAATCCTGTCCATATTGGTGATCCAGATACTAATATAGCATGATTGGCTTACATCAATCTTTTGATGGGGATAAGCTGCTCATGGTTAAAAAAATATATTTTTTCTCTTCTTTCACAATTTATAGGTAACTATTTTTAAAGATAACAAAATACTAGACATTATTTTTTTTTTTAATTCCATAATCAGGTTGGTATCATTTATTTATTAAATCATAAAAAACTATTATATGTATGAGAATATATGCAAAGTACAAATTTCCTTAATCCAATTCACTCATCTTTAGCTGAAGCCTCTATATGCGATTTATGAAGTGATATATTGTTCCTCTAAAGAATAGGATTAAGATCCCAAACTTCTAATAGTATCAAAACCTGCAGATCATCTCCACAGTCATGACCATAAATCCAAATTGTATCACCTCCCTCTTGTAAAAACTATGCAAGGGAAAAAGGGAATAAAAAAAGAATTTTTTGACAAAGAGAAAAGAAAAAAAAAGCTATCATATATTTTAACTATTATTGATAAGATTATCTCAGTAAACTTAAAACTCAAGCCCCTTATGGTTTCCTACTTCTTACCACCTGTAGCCAGTCAAACTGTTTAATTTTCATTGAAGTAATCAATGTCCAAGAACATTTAAGAGCACTTTCAGAAGAGTATTTCTTAAAACTTTATACTTGAAGACTTTTAATTAAAAAAGATGTTAGTTTTCTATTGTTAATTGCTCTCCCAAGTCATATCTTTTGGAATTATTGCTTTATTCAACTGGTGAATAGTTTTAAAATTCCTTTTTTCAACTATT